ACGATGGGTGTGACCTTGAATTTGAGGGTCAAAAACCATGAAAAAAAATCACCATGGGGTAAAGGACTACAAAACACCACTTGTCTCGTTTTTTTTGGGGCGAACCGTATGGGGATTGAAGGGGCGGAAGAGCAGATCAGATGCCTTCCGTGGTTTGTTGCTTTGGGGAGACCATGCAAGGACATGAACACATTCCTGTTGCCTGTTGCCTCACTTTTTCCAGTGAATTGGGGGACAAGGAACCCGCCAAAATACAAAGAGAAACTGACTGCGACTTCGTAGCACAGCCCGGGCACAGGTTCAGGACAGCCAAATAGAAAACCCATGCAACCCATGGAATATGGCTGTGGATCGAAACCCGGGCACCCGTACAGAATAGACTGAGACATGGGTCAACCGGGCGCGGAGGAGTTCCGGGCTCCAGGTGCCATGTACGGCATCCCACAGCCGATGTTTCTCTAAGGAGTGCGAACCCATGGAGGTTTGGGGTGCCCAGCTACTCCACTCACTTAGAGACAAAAAACCGAAAAAAACCACCCCTTTGTGACTCCTGGTAACTGGTACATTTTTATCTCTCTCTCTCTCTCTCTCTGCTGGTGTTTTTGGGCCTCGCACCGCCTCACGTCGGTCAACAAAAGAGGTGAGTGACAGAGAGGGGTCTAGAAAACCTGCTGCTGGCTGCTGGGGTAGACATGCTTAAGCATGTGGCTTACCCTACAGCTGAATCTCCAACTGGTCCGCCAGCCTTAGACCCAGACATTTCGGCCGCCAACTCGTTGCGGTGCCGAACCGATTTGGTCACGAAAGATCTGGTGCCACGTGTCCCAGCCGCCAGCCGCCAGCCGCTCTCGCCCAGGACACGTGCAAAGCATCGAAAGCCCCAAAGAGGGAAGCTTTTGCGTGGAGTGCGAAACCTTTATTCAGGCTGGGTTTTGGGCATAGGCATCTTCAGCGCCGATCCTGATGGGATGGGATGCAATCCTGATTTCATAGTGTAGCTACATTTTCATGTAGCTACAATGTGTGTTTGTTCATTTGGGTTTGTCCACACTTACCTGTAACAGTCAGTAAACAAGTATCACTATGTTTGAACACGGCCTTTAAACTATCATCATCGTCCACTGTTACTGGTAATAGGATAATAGATCCAAGTGTTCGGCTTTATGGCTTTATATATGTGTTCTGTTTAGATCTTTGGGTAGAGGTCGTTTGCCAAAGAACCCTGAAGGAATCCTGTCAAGGCCTCTTGCGAGGAATTTTGTCTTGACCTACAAACTTTTAACAAATCATCAGGTGGGTTTTGGATGGTGTTGGCCCTTCCTGGTTGGACCATACCAGCTATTATAGTCATAGCGCAGATTGGCAGTTGAAATGTTTTCAATCACTATACCAGACACCCTCATAGCCCCACAGATGATGATGCTTCCAGACCCGGCCATGATGACGAGCTCGCAGGTGGCGACCAAAACTGGTGGGACTGAGACCCGGATCGTGACGCCCTTCTCGATCTTAAAGAGTCCTTCGGCCATGGTCGTTTTGGGGCTCGGGTGCAATGCGGTCGTCGACTGGGAGCCGAAGATGAGAACACAGACGACAAGGCGGTTGTTAGGGAGCTCAACAGTACCTTCCACGCTTGGATTACTGCCAGATGAAAGACATTTTAGGAGATCAATTTCATTCGCAGGTGGACAACCTCTGGTTTCAATTTGATTGCAATAGACATCTCACATCTCAAGCGTCCGTGTTCGAAGACACCAAATGTCCCAAGGTCGGGTCCAGGTGCCGTTTCCGGTCGGGTCGGGTCCTGCACAACCGAACGGATCCGAGTCGACTTGGAGCCGTGGACCGGACATCCGATGACCGGGTCCTGCGATGGACCGGAGTGTTTGTTGGTCCTCTCACCCTAGAGCTAGAGCGCACCGGTGGTCCTCATTTGTTTTGCGACATACAATCCTGCAAATCCGGTTGGTTCCTGCAAATCCATGGGTTTGTTCAACGCAATACTTTCTGGCGGTGGAAGGCGGTGCATGGCTTTCCAAATGATGATCTTAGGTGTGTTCTTCCGGAGAATTGACAACTGGAAAAAACATCCCTTGGTCGATTTCGGATGTCGGAAATGGGATTTCGTGGACAAAGATCAGTTTAGTGGCCGCGTTTCCAAGATCAGTGGGTTCTTTGTGTTTTTTTTCTTCATTGCTTTTGTCATTTTGGTATTAGTTTAAATAATCCGAGGGGGGGTTTCATTGGGGTGATTGGTTTGATTGAAGGTTTGGTTTGGTTTTCCTTAAGCAAAAGATGAAGGACTGCTGAGAGGGTTGTCATACAGCTAGCACAGCCATTGAACTGCTGCTGGTAAAGTACCATTTTGTTATAGGCACATATTGGCATGCAGAAGCTGGATTATGTTCGGGCATTTCAGGAAAGGTACAATTATACAAAAGACCTGTGGAAGTCCCCCGGCCAATTCTGTCAAGCACATCTCTTTGGAAATGCACACATCGCTGCGAATACCTTTGAAACTGATCACCTGATTTTAACCACAACGGCTCCATACAAGGAAGACGACCCAAGCGTACTGTTGTGTTATGTAATGTTCATTGTAGGAATCCGTCAAAGACGCCATGTTCTGCAAAACACACAACAACAAAAGTCAGCAAACATTCAAAACCTCAGCCAACACGCTGAGTTTTACAACGAGCATTGTTTGCAGATCTGCAGAAACACTGAGGCTTTTGTGGCACTCGCTCGCCACCTTTTTCTCGGATGCACTTGTTTCACTTACAAATGTTGAATTTGCAGTGACGTTTTGATGTAAATCTGAGAACACACATTGTTTTCTTTAGCACCTGAGCGAATCTCGGAAGCCGTCTTGGAAGATGCAGCGACCGTCAGCGGCAGGGCAGTCCAAACACAGTTGGCACAGCATGAGTTTCGGCTGTTTCAGACATGTTTCATGCAGGTGTTTATGTCGCTCGCGGAAGCAGACGGACTACCCCCATGGCAAAAGCCAACAGGACAAGCGCGGGTGCACAAGAACCTGCACAACAAAGCAAAGGATTGGCAAAGGGCCACGAGCGAGCTGAGCACAGGCACGACCAGTTACGACAGATGGTGAAGCCGCGAAGCCCTCGCGAAGCCCTGGACTTCAACCTTGACTGAAAAACAGGTACTTGAAGATACTTGAAGGATCTTGAAGGTATTCGTACCATCTTGTACCCATTTTCCAAGACTCCAGGTAGTGTTTAATCAATGCAAACAACATGATGTTCTCGATCTTGCGATCTGGATTTGCGATCTGACCTCCGAGGCAAGTTTAAGCCGAATTTCCACATTCACTACGCCAAAGCAGCGGAGTATCAGCAGTTCCTCGGCCCAGACACGACATGTTGATGGCCCACCTGGTCGACCTCGTTTGGTCCGTTTAAAAGTCTGAATCCAAAATATACTTGGAGTGCTTTTTGTGTTCACTTCCCAAGAAGCACTCCTTAGTCACTGGGGGTCACTTGGCTGCAAGTCATTGACCACGTGAATCGTGGGTCTTTCAATCCCTGACTAAAGGATGGCCACCCAAAATGAACAGATCCCTTGTAACAAGGGACATGTCAACCTTCCATGGTTTGTACGCTGCGGTTTTGACCCGCCAGTCTTGTCCACCTCTTGTCCACGTCTCGGCGAGCTGAGAGGCGTCTCGCGACTAAGCGGAGATGAAGTGACGTCGCGGAGACGGCGACGACGGGACCCGATCTGTGAAATTACACCCAGCATAGACCCCAAACAGCGTCAGCATTTTTGTCGGCATCGGCGTCAACTCCGAAAATTCCAATGTTGGTGGAAACGAATGCAAGTATATTTCTTAAAGCCTCCAGCAGTTTGGTACCCAGACAAGGCGGTGGAGATAGGAAAAAACGGCGTGGCCAAGCAGGGGACAAGCCCCGGGTAAGACGGTGATAAACGGGCCCACTACGTGGACAAGCAGGACAGGCAGACCTGGACAAACAACAAAAGAAGGACACAGGGTTTGCGACCGTGGCACGAGGACAGCGGGGAACACCAGGAGGACTCGAGGACCCACAGGGTTCAAAAACGTGGCCACTAGAAGCAGGAGGAAGACACAGGGTTCGCCAGCGCGGCCAAAGGATGAGGAGAACAATGAGGAGGACAAGAAAAGGACAAAAGGAGGACGGAGGGTTAAGACGACAAGAACAGACCAAAAGGAGAGGAGGACAGGAGGACGACAAGAAGAGGAGGACAAGAAAAGGACAAAAAGAGGACAAGAGCAGGACAAGAGCAGGACAAGAGGAGGACAAGAGGAGGTCAAGAGAAGGACAAGAGGAGGACAAGAGAAGGACAAGAGGAAGAGGACGACAACAGGACAAGAGGAGGAGGAGAGGAGGACAAGAGGACGACAAGAGCAGGACAACAGAAAGGAGGACAAGAGGACCAGCGCGGCGAGGGGACAGTTCAGGGGCGCGGCCAGCCAGTGTGGCCAGCTCCTGTTATTTCCCAAGACACAACCCGTTTGGAACAATTCCAAGCCACTCGGACCGCTTCATAGTCCTTCAGTCTTTAAAGCTGGGACGCGCTCCCAAGCTCTGCAAAGAAAGCACACTCCCGGCAAGGCCCACAAGCGGCGCCTGGAGCGCGCCTAAGCACGAATCGAATTAAAGAATGCGCTCGCCAGACTAGTCAAGAACACCGTTCTTCAAATTGTGCTGCCAGCGCATCCCAGAGCGCATCTGTAACGTGCCCTCCAAGCACCTGCCGAGCGCGCCCAGAGCGCGCTGCCAGCAGGTAAACAGAGCGCGCCGGAGCGCGCGTCCTTATAAAGCACACTCCCCGAGCGCGCCTGGAGCGCGCTGGCGCACACCCAAAAATGTTTCAGAAGCTTGCGGCAAAATGGGATGGGCAAGGGACGCGCAACGTGAAGCAAGCGCTCCAAAGCACGCTCCAAGGGCGCGCCGAGCGCGCTGACCGAACGTTCCAGAGTCCGCCCAAGACGAGGACAAGAGAAGGACAAAAGGCAGCCAGAGGACAAGAACAGAGGAGGCTGAGGAGAGGAGGACGGGCGCGGCCAGCCATGCAGTCGAAAAAAATCCAACTCGGAACTATTCCTGAAATGTGCTCCCAAGCACGCCCAACAGCGCACCCCCAGCATGTTCTACAGCGCGCGCCTAGCATCTAACTGAAGAGAGCACCCCTCTCGCCCAATAGATTGATTCAAACAATTTAGGGCTCACAGGAATGGCTATGGACTGGAACACCTTTCACCAGAGCGAGCTGCCAACGCCTTCCAGACAAAGCGCGCCCAGAGCCCCAGTCGAGCGCGCCTGGGGAGCGCGCGCGGGGCGCGCTGCCATCGCGCTTTCTAACTATGCCTGCATGGAGCGCGCCCAAAACTCTCTCCAAGCGCCTTTGAGAAGCAACCTTTGAGGAATTGCGCGCTACTTGAAGAGAGGGCTCCAAACTTCAGAGTGCGCTGCCTGCACGTTCCATGCAAACACCTGCCGAGCGCGCCCGCAGAGCGCTGCCAGCACATATACAGAGCGCGCCGGAGCGCGCGCCCTTAAGTAAGCACACTGTGACCCCGAGCGCGCCTGGAGCACGCCGGCGCACACCCAAAAATGCTTGAGAGGCTTGCGGAACACGCTCCCCGAGCGCGCGCTTAGTGCGCTGACCGAACGTTCGAGTCCGCCCTGCAACGCTCCGAGTGCAGGATAGGCGGACAAGAGAAGGACAAGAGGAAGACAACAGCAGGACAAGAGGACGACAAGGGGAGGACAACAGCAGGACAAGAGGAGGACAAGAGAAGGACTAGAGAGGAGAACAACAGCAGGGCAAGGACAGGCTTGGCCAGCGCGGCCAGCGGACAACGCCAGGACAAGTCGCGGCCAAGATTAAGGACGACAAGACCCGGACACGACAAGGACAAGGATGAGGACAAGACCTGGACACAGAACCGGGCGACAGAGTTCAGGGGCGCGGCCAAGACAAGGACAAGAGGAGGATAAGAGGCGGACAACAGTAAACTGTAAACTGTTTGGGGGAACAGGGCGTGGACACAGAGCCGGGTTCAGGGCGCGGGCCCAGCCACACATTTCAGGGCGCGGCCAGGACCTTGCCCTCCTCTTGTCATCGTCTTGGCCGTCCTGGCTGGGTTCTGTGGCCCGGCTCTGAGGACAAGGCCTGGACACAGAGCCCGGGCCAAGAGGAGGACAAGGCCTGAACGCAGAGCACAGAGCCCAGCCAAAGAGTTCAGGAGCGCGGCCAAAAGGAGGACAAGAGGAGGCTGGGCCACAGAGCCCAGCCACAGAGTTTACGGGCGCGGCCAAGAGGAGGGGCTCAGGGTCGCGGCCAAGAGGAGGACAAGGCCTGGACACAGAGGCCCAGCCACAGAGGACAAGAGGAGGACAAGGCCTGGACACAGAGCCCAGCCACAGAGTTCAGGGCGCAGCCAGGAGGAGGACAAGAGGAGGACAACGAAGACGTTCAACAAGTGACTGATATGAAGGAAATGAGGACATTTTTGACCATATACTAGTATATACTTACTAGTATCATCTAGTATACTAGCTATGATTGTATAACGGAAGACCCATGGGCGCTTTGGATAAATGAATCACCGCCCAAAGAACCTCCATTGGGCTCAACTTCCCTGATTTTGCTGTTTTTCGCCAAGAACAAGTTTGTAAAGCGGTTGTGGCTGGATCCAACAGGAGTGTTTGCCAGCAATTGAAACTTGGCGCCTCGCAGAGTCCATTTCTGATCCGCAGCACCTTGCGCTGCTTGCTTGTGGCTTGAGATCCATGATCTGCTTACCTCACGTTTCGATCCACAGATCTTCGAACTTCTTTCTCCCAGGTTAGCTCAGCGCCTCATGCGCGCTTCCATCACGGAAGTTCGGCAGATCCTTTCAGAGGCCCAGGACGCACGTGTAACGCGCATCTTAGTGCCGCGACACGGCGCGACAGAGGATGCGGTGGGAGGTGTTGGAGTTGATTGAAAACCCCCGCGTTGGACGTCCAGCCCTTCGATCAGGGGAATTCGTACACCACTTCCAAAGCAGGATGAAAAGAGGGTGAAACTATAGGGCTAGAGTTGGTGCGACAAAAGCCAGGCCTCAACAAAATGTGGGGGTGCTATCCCACGCAGACGCACAAAGAATATTTCCAATTTTTCATATATTTTGATGACAAATGCAGCTCGTTCTTTGGAGTCCATCATGAACTACTTACTATATAGTCCAAAACTGATGAACGGACCTGGGTATGGTTTAGTATAATGTCGACGTCGGATTAATCAACTCCCCCTTCAAGGTCAACAAGGTCTGAGATTGGAGGTATTGTTGGACCACATCCCCCTAATAAAGGTGATGACCTGATGATGGACGATGAGATGAGGACCTGGACCTGATGATGGATGATGGTTGATGGGATTCTGGGGGAATCATGAGAGTTTGAACCATGAGGGCTCTGAGTGTATTGGCACAAGCTTGATAAGACTCAGAGATCAGATAGGATAGATCAGATTGTAAATATGATTGTACATTATTCCTTGTCTGGGACAGCTAGGCTTGATTAATATAGGGGGGGTTCTGGACAGGAAACACATTATTAGGGGTATGCGAAGGTGGAAATCTAGGTTGTTCATTCGTTTAGTATTGGGGGCCCGAGCTGGGCTTGATTACGATGGGAGGGATTCATTAATCCGTTGTTGACAGTACTTTACTATATTATTTAATTGTTTAAAGCAAGTAGAACGGTTGTATGTTGACATTATTTTATTGTATTATTCAATTGTTTAAAGCAAGTAGAACGGTTGAGCATAGTTTTTTGTTTTTGAAATTGAAAAAACCTTTTCGACAAGAACAAATGACAGCATTGAGTACCTATCAGCAACATTCAGCAATGTTTTCTTGGTGAATGTATTTGCTACACCCACCGCCAAACATCAAACAACATCAGGACGATAAATGGAGCCCGACACCTGACGATAAACCATTTTTTTCTAACAGTTTCTTGTTTGCCCTAGGGCTCCTGGCCCAAATCCTCAGAAGTTAGGGACTGACTCCCCCTTTAAAGTGGCACCCCCAGCATAAGCACCACTCCCCGAAACGGAGGTGAATGGAAACGTTGGGTTGTGACCTTCCATCGCATCGCATTTCGGCTACTGGGTGGTCATTTTCAGATATAGTTCATCTTCAGCCTTTACTTGGGATGATTGAACCAGATTGAACCCCACGAGTCCTCACATTGTTCAAGTGACTTGAAACCACCAACCGGGACCAACCGGTTTGCGCAGGCTCGGCCGATTTCGTCGTCCGCCAGATGTCGGACATCGGCAGTGACCATCGGCAGGTCACTGCGGATGTCCGCTTCGACGTGAGCCGCTTGGGGCACCGGGAAAATGCCCTGCTGCCCGGTGGTTTGTGGGTTCGACAGGCGCGGAATCGGTCATCGTTCGTCGGTGTGCGCGACACGGCGACACGGGCCGAGGAGGTGCTGATGAGGCTGCCCAATATGTTGGCTTGGTTATATGGATCTTGCAGCAAAAGATGGTGAACTTTGGAAGAACGGTTGAACATATAGTCCAAATTTTGGCACAATTATATACGAAACAGTATTGTATAATGGTAATTACCGTTAGAAAGCCTTCGGATTAAGTAGTTAGTGGATGGAGGGAATAGTCTATTTCCAGGTGTTTAAGTTCCGTGGCCTGACCCTTGAACCAAGGAAAGCATCATTAGATACGATATGTTGAACGTTCCAACAACATGGTTTCCATTGATCTCTTGCTGATGTTGCAAAGATACGCCGAGCCTTCCCCAAGTTCTGTCTTCCTCCAAGGTACTCGTAGGGTTGAGACGAGATGGAGGGGTTTTTTGAGTCTCAAATCTCTAGTTTTTGAGGCACCAAGGGCTGTTTGGAGTGTTTGGGTGTGTGTTTTCCACTCGATTTGGATACATGTAGAGAGTTGATTGGGGGCCTGCTCACTTGTGTGTTTGTCGGTTGGCGCTTTGGCTACAGGTTTTCTTTTAAAAGGTTGCTTGGTTACTGGTTACTCTATCACATTTAATCTTTTTACACGTCAAATTTGTCGCAAGAAAAGACACAGGGAAACCACCTCAATTGGGTCTCTCTCTCTCTCTCTAGAGCCCATAGGGCACCACCAATCAAGTCTCAGACATGGCTTAGTGGGACTGCCATATGTACCTAGCCTATACATTGGGGTGCTTGAAAAGGGGTCAATGTCATATGTACGAGTCTCATCATGGAGTGTTTGGGAGTGGGTGACACATGCTTTCCGCCGTAGGTGGAACCGCTCCTAGAAGTGAGGCACAGCGGAAGTGGAAGTGGATGGTGTGGATGGTGTGGATGCGGGATTGCGTGGAACACGTTGATTGAGCCAGAAAAAACACGCGGCTGGATCATATTTGGAGGTGCATCCAATCCGCATGGAAGATATTTTTAGGAAAATATGGAAATCTTGTTGCTAGTAGCGTTGGCCTCCAACCTAATGTTGACCTCTGATTAATAAATGTACTGTCAAATTGTCAAACCATAAAATTTCTGGGAAACCCTAAATATATTTCATCCCAGGTTCCAAGAAAGAATTATTCATCTCAGGTTCCAAGAAAGAATTATGTAATAAAATAGAATGATCCCTTACTAAAACAAATATTAAAAGAAAGGTGAATTAGTATTAGACATGAATTGAAATTAAACTCAATTCAATTGAGTCTAAATTCAATTGGAATTGAGTTTGGATTAAATTTGAAGTTAATTTCTATTGAATTACATTCAAATTCAATAGTAATTGAATAAAACATTTTTTTCAGTAGACCAAATTCAGTAGCTTTATTTAGAGTAAACTTTATTTAGGGTAAATTCGCTTCATGAAAACCACTTAGCTTTATTTAGGGTTTGGTGGCTTCATGAAACTCCGTTAGCTTTATTTAGGGTAGGCTGTATGTAGGGTTTGATGGCTTCATGGGGAGAACCCTTTCCAGAATGGTTTTGATCAATTTCAATTGTTTTGAACAAGCGATTTACAAACAATTTTTATCACAAGGTTTTGAGGTTTGGTGAACAATTCAAATTAGAAGTGAATTGGGCATGACGTTGAAATGAATTGGAATTGAACTCTAATTGAGTTGCAATTACTTGAACGAGGACTGTACTTGAATGAACAAAACTCTTTAGCTCCATGTAGGGTAATCTTTATTTAGGGTTTGGTGGCTTCAGGAAAATTCCTTAGCTCTATTTAGGGTAAACTTTATCTAGGGTGTTGTGGTTTCAGAAAAAATCAATTAGCTTTATTTGGGTAAACTATATTTAGGGTTTGTCAAATAGACAATTAAAAAAATATTCAAATATATAAACATCACCTTTCTTAAACATAGATTAACAATAATATATTAGAATAAACAACAATCAATTAACTTCAAACAAGTTCAATAATGAAACATAAACCATGGCAATAAAACAATAAGATTAAAATATGTTTTAACACATTTTAATATCGATTTTATCAACAGTAATTGATTTTAAATCATAAAATACAAATATAGATAAACACAAAAGTAAAACAACATAAATTAAAACAAGTGCTGACTTTATTTCGGGTCCCTTTATTAATCAGGGCGCAGCTTGGCTAACTTTATTCCGGATCCCTTTATTAATCATAGGTCAACGCGATGGCCTCCACCTAGTAGCTTCTTGCTACTACATGGAAATCCAAGATCATTTTCTGCATCGGTCTTTAGAGCGGTCCCACGGATGCAGCTCCCGACTGCTTCGCATTGGCTTCCTTTCGGCATCATGGACTTCGCTGTCAGTCTTGGAACTTGAACTCCGCAAGAAGCAAATGGAACGGAACGGTTGCCTTGTGCATGTGTGTGTTTTTTTTAAATATGACTTACGGGAGAACATGCTGAAACCAATTGAAACGTCATGGTCGATGGATTCAGTCACTTGAGTCGTCGTTGTTCACCTCTTCTTGTCGCATGTTTCGCACCCAACTCGCCGGACCCGCTCCGCTTCGATCCCCGGCTCCGCTGGAGCTCCACCGTCTTCGGATCTGTTTCGTCCATCGCAGGGGGCTGCTGCAACTGTCCACAGACGCCATCTACGTTCAGCCGCACCCCAACTTCTCCTCGGAGTTCGTGCGCCGTGCCACTTGGACGTTGAACAACGTGGCACCGGAACGTTTGGGGGTGGTGTTAGTGCTTAGTGCGTTCAACGGGTTGTTTTTTCATGTTTTTTTTTTTCCTTTGTTCTCCTTCGTTCCTTTGAGCGCTCCGAGGTCCGCGGAGGGGTCTGATGTCATGCCTTTGAAGACCATCACCGATCGGTTCTGCCCTTCGAACATATCCCAAATCAGTGGCTGATTGAAGTTCCTGGACCCGGTCCGGACCGGGACCGTACCTTCGAACATGGCAACGGCTGAGCCGTGTGGGGCCCCATTTTCCGAGGTGCGGTTTCGGGTCGCCTGTATGTGTGAAAATGTCCTGTTTGATTTGCTAGGACACTTGCAGCAAGCATGACCCCAACGAAGAAGTGCATTTGATTTGATGTTTGCTATATATGGTTGTTTGGACACTTCTATTATTGATAAATATATATATATAGTGTTCGTTAGACAACATCGGTTTGTCTAAAAGACCAAACATGGTACAGTGTTACAGTATAACTCAGTCGAATGAGAAAAGAACTGCAGCTTCTTGAAACGTCCGAATCGGATCCATGAGATCCACGATGTGGAGATGGCTTCCGATGCCCGAGGTGCCCCTGAGTGATGTACTTCATGTGTTCCGCCGCGTCTACGGCGTGCAGGCGGACCTGGTCAGGGTGGTGGGTCGGGAGCTGCTGTTTCAGCCCTGCTACACTTCATGTATATAAGATTACATGGGCTTACATAGTTATATACCTGCATGCAACCTCGTGGTTGTTTTTTGGTCGGTAGTTCAACAACCTGCATTTAGGTCTGTGAACCACATAAACATGTGCAACAGAAATACACATCTGCTCTTAAAAAGCACGTTCGGGGAAAAGAACGCCTGTGGCTCACCAATAAACGCCCTTAGCTTGTGTATACACCCCTGTGGAAGTTAAAAGACAGTTTGAAAACTAGAGAAACATCCGCAGACTCAAATATAAGGCTGTGACTCCAAAATATGTTTTTCGCGCAGCAGATCGATAAAAAGCACTCTGAGGAAGTTCCAGGTATATAGTATAGTCATATCCCAAACGCTCCTTTGGTGCACATAGATGTCTAAAGGATGGTTTGGCACATATGTTCATCGAGGAAGGTGAAGTGGTACATACATTTGCTCAGGAATTCTGGCCGGATAGAAATCGTGACTTCTAGCAGAAGTGCCCTTGGCTTGTGGCAGAAGTGACTGGTTGGAACTCTGCTTTGGCAATGCTAGTCAACCAGGATGGGGGAAGGATTTGCTAGAAGTGTGTGTGTGTGTGTGTGTGCGCATGCGTGTCAAGCCCCCTCTCTAGTTGCTCAAGATGGTTTTTGAACAAGTCACTGCTTTGGCAACAGCTTGGTCCTGAGTGGACCATGTGAAGTTCCTTGGATGACCTTGGCGTGAAGCATGAACTCCTCAGTGCCAAGCCTAAGAAGACCACTGGTGATGCCTTTGTTGCGAGCAGCTTTGCGAGGTGAAAACGGCACATGTTCATACCTGTGAGGCCAGGATGCTTGGAATGCCAATTTGCGTGACAGACTGTTTCCATGCTGGTCCAAACATCCTGCTCCAAAAACATTGAGAGATTGACAGGTGTTTGACTCCATCCAAGTAAGCGATGCTTGGCTCGACGAGGGTATGGTGGCCGCTCAAGTATCTCAATTGGGATGCTACGCGGAAATTCCAAAGAGTTACTGAATATGGTCGGCGTGAGTGACCTGGAGCGCACGGATGACTATAACCAGTTGCGTGATCGACGTTAGGCCAATGAAGTAGTCACCTGGTGGACCAGCAAGCCGCGCAAAATGGATGAAACAACAAAAAAAATGAACAACGGGCGCAAGCAATGCACGACCGGGCACTCAATTACAAAACGTACCCGATTTGTTCCACACGGTCCGGAGGCAGGGATCAGCCGTTTCGCCCCCAACTCACCACGGGCCCGGTTGACCATGTTTGGTGTAGTCTATGACCTGTTCATTTGGGCGGTCCACACGACGCCATCTCCACCTGAAGTGGCGGTTCTATTTTACGCCTCGCACCAAAAGGAGGCCCTTTAGAGGTTCCAAGGAACGATCCGATGCTGATAGCGTACAGAGATAGCGTACCATTGCATTGCATGCGCTTCAACCCGGACCTGAAGTGCACATGCTGTAGCTGTAGCCTCAATGATGAAGTTGTGTAATGTGAGCAGCTTAAGAAGCTGAAACTTTAGGCAGACATTCAAAGGACACCAGCGCATGAACTTGATGATGAAACACATATAGCAAAAGGCTAGACCTCTTGCTTTGTGCTGTGTGCGGATGCGGTGCGTCTAACCGGCTGCTGCCATGCACTTTATATACAAAACAATAACCATTTGCATAGCCACGATGACAAACCTGCAAATTTTTGAAACCCTGATAATATCATCTCAGAGGACTCCAAGGTTCTTCAGGACACAAAAACAGATTTACCGCACAGGGGCACTACCTTGAAATTCATACGAAGCGGGCACCAAAAAGTGGTACGCAATTTTGTGTCCCAAAAATCTTATTTACATGTATTATGAGTCATGTTCCTTCAGGTTGTGATTGCTTCCTAGAGTAGTTACCACACCAACCCCCATAAGAAGCAGTCGGCTTGTAGATCCCCAGTGGTCGCAACATGCAGCATACCGAGTTCTTTTAAACATCATTTTTGGGCGCAGGAATCAAGAATTACCCTCCGACTCACCAACATGCAATGAAAAAAACTGCAACTGGAAAAAAATGGTCTTCCCAGTTGCCATTTTCATTCATTGTCCATGTTAGTGGGAGCAGCATCCACAGACTCAATTATAATTAGACATGGTGATTCCTTAAGAACCTGAACCTGAACCAATGGAATTAGTTTGATTTGGATCTCCGGTCTGTCCGCTGGCCCCTGCTGTTTCCCCTTAAAAAGCACGCACTGCAGAGCTTGGCGACCGGGTTGAGTCAAAGAGTCAGAAAGGACGCATGGCCAAAATTGGTTGACTTGTAAGTAACAAAGAGATCCAAAGAATGTGGTATTCGACTGAGTTCAGTTCCCCAAGTCCTCGAAATAGTGCTTTGACCAGTGCTTTGACCCCACTGTAAGTCCTCTCACTCGAGCATAGATGCATCCTCCACTGCCACATGTTTGTATGTTAAGTGTTGTTTTTGCAACCCACTTGTACCACTCTCAAAACGAGAGCCATATATAAAGCGTTTAGCGCTTCGCGAAGCGTTCTCCGTGAACTTCGACCGCAGCTTCAGGCCAAAGCCTTGGAGATCATCACCGTTCACGGGGGATGTCTCTACCTTTGCTTCGAGGCGGACCGCGAAGCTCCGCGGAGGTCGGCGGTCAGACTGCGGTGAACTGCTTTAACTGGTTTTACTCAGACTAGGATTCCAAGGCTCCTGATATAGGGTCTTGGCCGAGCACCACATCAAAATAGTCCAGCCTTAACCTTCCGATCCTTGAAGTGGAAAGGATTGGGTCGGGTTTGGAGCGTCCATCCTTTGCCATGGATCCAAGGGTTCTTTGGGTGGCTATATAGACATGTTGGGTATGTTCATTCTACGAGTTGCCACGACTATCAGATAATCTCAGATATCAATTATCTAAAAGAACTGTTTTTAATTACGAGGTTAACTTTTTGGTGCAATTGTTGTTCATGTTCCGAACCGGAACACCCTGATCAGGGTGAGTCCTCCATGGCCTTGTTGTGATCGACTTGAGCCTCCCTCGCTTGCATGGACGACTCGTCAGCTAAGATCATGTCAGCTAAGACAACATGTCGATCATTGGACACCTTTTGTCGATCATTGGACACCCCAAAGAACAACCCCCCCCCAAAAGCCAAGTCATCGGATAGACATTTGTCAGCCAGTACCTTCCCAGTGACATCTTCAGGATTGGTAAGTGACCTGGTCGGCCTGCCTAGGCCTAAGTGACCTCATTCTGGGATCTCAAAAGGTCACTGGGAAGGTCCTGGAGTACGACTTTTCAATTTGCTTCCAGTCTTTGCCATGGGGACCGAATTCCGTGCTTCCTAGCAACGGGTGGTGAGCGCAGCATCCTCACTGAGTGGTTTTTCCAAACAGACCCCTCGGCCGTGGGTCAAAACCCTGACCATGTTTGGTAGTTTGTTCTGTTCATCTTCGGTGAAGCCGGGGATCTTTTGGTTGAAAGACCCACAGCCAGATGTGTCGGATTCGGATGTCTTTCCTGAAGTTGATGGCTAGGATTTGAGGGCTTTGAACCAGACACAATGAGGTGCCCGGGCCCGTTTCGAACGTACTTCAGAGCTCTATAGATAAACATCATTGGAAGGGAGTGCAATGACAAGAAGCACTGTGATTTAAATTAACACCTTTCACAATCTCTATATATATATATACAGTATATCAAACTAACATTTACTTGGACTTTTTGAAAGAAGCTTGGTGTGGTTTAAGTAATTCTCCGGAGTCCTTGCCTGGCATGTCCACTCACGTTTAGCTTCACTTCACCGTTGCCAGAAACGCGTTTCTTCGTCGGTTTCTGCGGAACCGGCAGTCGTTGCCCGGCCAGGCACACGGCCAATGCGACCATGTGGAAGCACTGCTGGAGGAGCAGCGGAAAGCCCTCATCGTCAGTCCAAGCGTCCTGAGGCGCGGACCTTGGGAAAGAGCTAGTGCCGCTGGAGTCATTGACTTCCAATTTCAGAGGTTTTGCTTTGGGAGGGGCCAGACCAAAAATGATCCATGAATATCCATGACATGTAATGACTTGTTCAATCTTGTTCATATATATATAGTTGAATATATATAGTTGAATCTTAAATTTAGGTCTGTTTCTTAGAGTAGAAGCAAGCTCAAGAAGTAAGAACCACTGAGCCGGCAAGAGTTGTCTTTGTCTACCCTCCCGGCACCGTCGTTCACGTGGACCATGAAGGCGACCCCGCTGGGTTGTAGGGGATACACTCGACCTTTGGACCTTTGGCCGGCGAGCTTCCTCCACAGACCAGAGGCTTTCAGCTTCCATGTGGGTTTGAGAACCAGTGCGGGTCATGCGTCAACCAGTGCGGGTCTTCTTGTCAGGGTCCATTTGCTTCGTGTCCGGGGGTCATGGGGAGATTTGGAAGGCCAACACGCAAACACGAGGACGAATGACTCGAATGACCATCGCGGAACAGTTAGGACATTGAGCAGTGGACTTTTTCTGTAGACCTTTTTTTCCTGCCTCAGCAGCAGTTGGACATGGAACCCAGAGAAATGGCTTCACCTGGCTTCTTCCCGACGCAGCAGATGTCCAGGTTTCCGCCTCCACGGAACGCCGGAACTCCAATCGGCTGTCCCACATCGTTCCACCATGCAAGGCATGATGCCTTGTGTTTTGGTCGGATTCAAGACTTGGGTGGGACAAAGAAGTTCCATCATATGTTCCATCTTAGTTATTTTATAGTCAAATTCGAATAGAAGGATTTGGTCAGACTGGGTCATCCCAAGTTCTCCGTGTCGGCGGAGACCCCACCTCTTCTCGGCTCACTTGGCCTCGGCCTGGCCTCGGCTCACCTTCCGTCGCAGGTCCTCGCTGGATGATGCGGAAACCGTGCTGCAGAACGTGAGGAAGATGCCGCTGGGACCACAGACCGGCGCCGACCGCAGACGCAGCGATCGGTCGCAGGTTCTCGTCCACGCGAGCCTGGCCTGACTCCTTTGGTGGTGCGGATCGGGTGAGATTTGTTATTTTACGTTGAATCACCGACCGAACATGGATGTTGAAGAGAAACGTGTGGCAAGACGATGTTGCTGTTTACAAACATCAGTTTAACTTCCTGTGTCGGAGTTTTTTGTTTAATCTTGCAAGTTCAATCATTCTATGTTTGAATATATTTGGACATGTTTGCCCTTCAACCCTGCGCTCTTCGTAGGAGAGAGATGGGTGCAGGGTTTCTTTCCTCACTAATGCTGGTACAAGTCCAATGGCCATTGACTAACATATGCTTGGTTGATGAATCGAGGGTATACCCCAAAATTGTGTTAACAACAAATAGCTATAATGGTACCTGGCATAAAACCCCTCTATTCCAAAGGTCGGATGCCATTGGCAGGCATACAAGTCCAATCCTTTCTCATACACAAATCAAATCCGACTTGCTAGACTCGGTCCGCAGACTCTGGAAATCTTTTGAAAACTGGACTGACTGACTGTATATATGGGGAAAATCATTTGGGATCACCATGGAACGTTCTCAGCTCATGGCAACTAACAAATTTATTGTATAGAGATTGCCAGATGGTGCTGGAATCTCCCCCGCGTCTTAGACTCAACCTCCATTTGGACCCGAAACCGGACCTCGGAAAATGGGTACTTTATGGTATTGTTTTTGTTCCTTTGTTTGGTCATGTCACAAGACTTCCAAGCTACGAACTGGAGGGTCGAGGTATTTACATGTATTTACCAAGTTTAGTTTTGGAGCTGATTCATAAGTGGTTGCAAGGTGTTTGTCTAAGTTGCTTTGGATCTTATAGGGAATCACGAAAGAGAATGGAACCCGAGAAAGGTGTCTCAAGGAAAACTACCAAGTCAGTGGATAACCAGCAAAGTCTTTCAGGGGATTGGTTCCCCATCAAAAAAAAAAACAGATCAGAATTGAGCTTGCAGTTGTATGTGTCTCCCCCAGCTGTGGAATTTATTCAGCTTGTGCCTTCATCTCCGAGGGCCAAGGTCCGATAGGCCGATGGGTTCTTATTTTTGTTTGGAGATATCTAGCCCTAGGGATCCAAGTACCTTCTCAGGTACGGTGATTGGAGACTATTTATGTAGGCTTGGAGAGCCCAAGTACCTTCTGAGAAGGTATGTGGATCCCTAGGGTAGGAGTAGAACCAAGAATTACATCAGAAAACTCTTTCTTTGACCCATCAAAACACTGGCGTTGTGTGGAAAGTATCATACATGCTTTTCGCGAGAAACATCGACCAGGACGGCTCTTTGGCAGAGTGGGGTCCTTTCAAACTTTCACTACTTGGACTTCCTGAACTGCGCAGCGGGACGCTCGAGGCAAGGCGTTGTTTTTTTTGAGCATTCTTTCATTGAACCTGGACAGCCAGGTCAGGTGTATTGTTTATGGAGTATGTATGATCGTATAGTATATAGTATGTTTTTGGGCCATATATATATATATATACATTGGAGTATGACAATAATATACTATTACTCAATAAGTTATATTCTAGTATACTGTTGTCCTTCTTGGGCCCTCACGCCTACCCACCGGACTGGCTTAAGATGGCCAAGTCAACTTGGTATGTCATGGTGGAACAAATCCATCTTCGGGACACTTGGCAATCGGTTGCTTGGAATATCCCTGAATCGGATTCACTGCTCGATAGGTGCCAGGACGGTCCAGAAATACCTGAAGAGGGAAGGTATGTGGATCCCTATAGTGCCCTATAGGGACTCACACCACCAGCCTAATGGCCTCCTATGAACTCACTTCTCCCCATGAATTCACGTTCCCAACGGACCTCCATACTCAGATCGTCCAGCTGTTAAATTAATGGGCGTCACCCAACAGAGGAACAGGCCATACAGTGTGGGTTTCAGTCTACTGTATATTTTCCTTTTCTAGCGGTTTGTAAAGAGTCTCCATATTCAACAACAGGTTCATGTGAGTTCACCTCATTTATGAGCAAGATTAAGATCTCGCTGGACACCAAGCTTGTGTTTTGCGTTGTTTTGGTGTTTCTCGAGGCATGGCTCGATGATGGGAACATTGTTTGTGTTTTGATGACAGAGTGTTGCAGAGTTCAACGTATGATTGAAGTCATAGTGGTAGGTCAAGACAATGGTTGAGACTTAACATTAATTGCATGAAAGTTGAAATCCGGTTTGTGTGTGTGTGTGCAGCCAGTTCATTGGGTTATATTGATCATCCCCATTGGGCAGTCTTCTTTGTACATGGCTATGCTACACCATGTTCCAGGTGTCTTGATGTATGTTCGCTTCTCTTCCTCTTTTGACAAAAACACACACGCATACTGTATATTGTGAACTCATGGACTTGGAACGGATTGATTTGGAGACCTCTCTTGCAGGGCATCATGCCTGAGAGGATAGTTGACAACAAACTATAGATTTATTTGTACTATACTAAAGGATACCACTGACAATGAGGGTGGCAACTCAACCTTGCCACTCCCACTGCAACAAAGTACATTTGTTACTCTTGAAGAACATGTTTTAACAAGTAACTACGACACTAACTACGTTAGAACACTAGGTTAGAGCATAGTTACTCCATCTTGTTACTCTTGTTGGACACATTGTTTACATCAGTTGGCCTCAGCACAAGTTGTAAGCAATCGTCCGGCGGACATCGTCATGCTGAAAGAACCATGCTTAGACGTGTTGGAAAAGAATACGTATTTGAAATATGTGCATGGGGTCAAACCAGGACACTCTGGTTGACCCCTGAAAATGAACAGAATCGACTGCAGTGTTCTTTTAAGGTTGCATTTATTATGTCATTGTTTGCACAATTGTTCAGGCTTCAGTTGTTTGTTCATGGTCAACCTAAGAAGGTTTAGTGCTCCAGGTGCTTAACCCACGACGCCATATGGACCCCAAGTGCTTAAGCATGGTCCCCCATGTTTCATCAATTTCGAGGTGCTCAGGCAACCCTCAGCACTGGAAGTCTTGACCTTTTGCTGACTGGTGGTTAGTATATAGGGAATGAGGGAATGACCCCTCCACTGATTGGATACCTTAGGATCCAGCCACCCTCATTCCAGACGAAATCGTCGCACCAGTCAGTTTGGCAGGAATGACTTCTCCCAGTACCCGGTTTTTCCATGGGTCATCGCTGACTATACCAGCGCCACACTGAATCTGGAGGAGCTTATCCGCCGGAGCGTGTGCGGGAACGCGTGCCGGAGCGGTGAGTCATGAGGGTTGGCAAGAGACCCTTACATGAATACCAAGCCAAGGAAACAGAACAAACATGAACAAACATGAAAACAACATATTGAAAAACAACATGAAGAATTGGATCTGGAATACAAATCATTGGTATGTCTTTGGATATTCTCTAGCTCCTTGATGTTTGTTTCCTCCCTGACCCCGAGGACTCTCTTCACTCCTATCCTCCCTCGGTCGGAGGACCCCGCCAGCTACCGGGACCTCTCCAAGCCGGTGGGCGCCTTGGCGGAGAAGCGGCTCAAGTACTTCCGTGAGCGGATGGCAGGGATGCCCGAGAACCAGGACGGCCTCGGGAGGGTACGGGGAGTGGCTGGGTAGAGTGGAGTGGCTGGTTGAGTGGTGATGCGGTGGAATCGGTGGGTGGGTGGGTGGGTGGGTGGGCCTGGATGTCCCTAGACTTGGAGATGTTTGGGGTGGTGATGTGAGGTAGAGGTCCGTTGGGAACGTGAGTTCATCACAGGTCATAAGGCTGGTGGTTTGAGCCCCTAGGGATCCACATACCTTTGAAAACAGGTACGGCTGGACCCTAAACGATTAGACTCAAAGTTCCCTATTTGGGGAAAAGCCTGGCTTCCTAGCAGTGGTATTTCGAGGTATTTCTACAGCTCTGCAATTTGTTTGCCGTCGGCACACCATTCTCAGACTCACACCCGTCAAGAACCTACCTAGGACTCACATGTTCTTCATGGGTTCCCCATTGTCCCTAGGGCTCCAACTATATCCTCAGGGTGGTTAGACCCCCCAAACCCACCCCAACCATCTTCTCAGGAGGCGGTTGGACCCCTATAGGGTGTATATTTCGGCAGATCAAAGATGATGAAATATACTCCCCTGCCATTCGGACCACATGGAACTGCAGGTCACCACGTCGGGTTGGTATTCGGAATCTCGAAACCACCGGTCCATGCCTTCCGGTTCCATGGAATCGTTTGTAAAGAAGCGGCCAGGTCCATTGGGCGACCGGTCGTTTTCACCAGGTCGTTGCGTTCAAATCCTAGGTCCTAGACCTTGCCCTGGGGAGACCATCATTTGAGCTGCTGGTCTCAACTTCTTACCGGTCAGACAATTGCTGAGGGTGTTTTTTCCTGATTGTTCTGACTCATGGCCTCATGGCTTTGCTTTCATTTTGATGTGCTGAATCAGCCACCCCCAACGAGTCACATCCGATGGGGAGCTGCTTGGTGTCCCGTCCTCTCACCGTGGAAGACTGGCGTTCCCGACCGTTTGGGAACCCTCGAAACAACGACCCATGGGACTGGTATATTTGAGGGGTCAATGTAGGCATATATCCCAGACACTCCATGGGACTGGCATATTTACATACATTGACCCCTAAAGCCACCCCAATGTAGGTAAATATGCCATACATAGAGTGTTTGGGTATGATCGTATACGGAGTGTTTGGGAATGTGTTTCCACCAACCCCGGATGTGATGTGTTTTGTGTAAACTTCGAGCCTCAAGCGACCTTTGTATCTACAATACAACAATACCGTACATATATGTCAAGAAAGCATGTGTGTTTGCAGCAAAAGATGTTGTATGTCAATATCACCCTTGGCGCATCAGGCCACAATCAGGGTAGAACAATATAAATCCCTACAGAGCACACTCTCTGGCGTTCAACTTTGGCATTCCGTGTGATGAAGGAGTCACTTTTGGATGGCAAGTTGAGCAACCTTTGACAAACAAGTCTCTATGGCATAAGATTTCAAGAATACGGCACACAATTGTGGGAATACACAGTAGCCAAATCGGCCATATGGTGCAAACTTGTGGACTCGAATTTTGTAGCGGACACCGGACACCTCACAGTCACACAAACACTTCAGCTTCAACGAAGGCGGTTTGAAGCCCGATCCTCGGCAGAAAACTGAGAAGAACATGTATCCCATGGCAGTACCGGATCACAAGTCTATCTCTCCGGCTCTCCGGGGTCACCCCATCACCGAATGTCATGTTTTCACAGATATGACATGTTTAGTCAAGCATTGCACCTTTTTTTCCTGTGCTTGGACATATCGCACCTTTTTTGGGGAATTGGGTGGTCCAGGAGGCTCCAGGAGGGCAAAGCTTTTGCAATTTCAGCTGGACACAGGAGCGATTCCTCTATGGCACACACTACTCCACTCCAGCCTACGTGATCTACTGGCTGCTCCGGTCCATGCCAGAACGACACTTGGACATGCAACAAAAACTCACGTCTTGGAGGCGTGGAGAAGTGGGTCGTGTTACAATTGTTCCTCTTACTTTTGGCGAATTTCTCAAACAATCCACGTTGCTAGTGTTCTTCATGTCAATGAAGAGATTCCGTTGTCAAATATGGTGTTCTTTGACTTCGAAATTTGCCACAATTTACCTCTTCTTTGGTTTTGCTTATAGAGTGCTTGTTGTTTTCCCTATGGGTGAATTCTCTTTTGGGGACATATGTTGTTCTATCTTTTCCTAGTTTCTTAAGCAAATCCAAGCATCCTGCTCCTGCTCTTCAGATATTTGAAGTCGATCACCGAGGAGGGTGCCCAGCTTTTGCCCAGTGAGCCCGCCTGAAGTCTCAACTGAACCCAGGTTCTTCCTCACATCGATCAGGTTTCTCCTCCCAGCGGCGGACGAGTCCGTTCAGTGTGAGAAACTCATGACCCTTTGGACACATGAAGCCGGGGCACAGGCTTGTGACCATCAACAAATGCCTGGGGGGCCCAGGTCTCTTTAGACCAATTGATCCCATATGACCCATATGCTATCATACGCTGGGGATTTCTTTTCAACCCCTCAACAGACCAATCAGACCTTCTCTATCCCTCGCGGCTGCAGGAATGCTCCGGCTCCATAACGGCCATTTCGATGCATGGGCTCGGCTCTTCCGTTCTGCAGCTCGACGGTGGACGGATCGGGGAATGAGCCCCGCTTCGGCCCCGCGCATCTCGGGGGTGGAAAGCAAAGACCCTTTAAGCCCATGGTGTTCGTCTGGTTTTCGTGACCTGGGCCGGAGTTCAAGTCCAAAATGGGACAAGACCCTAGTTAAAAAGACAGGTACAATCCAAGCCTGCATGAGACTGTCTCCTTCCTCACGATTCCTCACCCTAAGGTTTGTGGATCATTGTGGATCCATAGGGATTTAGTCCACCCAGATCATCAACAGAATCATAGTACAGTTGTTTCGGAGTAGATGGTGCAGACCTCAAAATGTCCTCCAGACTAGATGGCTGATGGGGTCCATATATACCACCGACCTTGGGGTAACTTGTGCCCTCCACTGTCATCTCTGAAAACACTGTATATGTTTGGTTCTGAGAGCTCAGTCCCACTTCTTTCAGCCGAATTCTGCGGTGCCAACGGGAACTTTTCACAGGGGCGCAACCATCATCTATGATCCACAAATGTTTGCCTATACATTAGAGTGGTTTTGAATGGTTTTGAGGGTCAATGGATTGTCAGGTATATACAGTGTAAATGGGACGCATCGACGTTTTTTTCATGACGCAACCGCTGGAGCATTAATGAATATGTCCATTTCTTAGACCCTAACAGTTGCCATGACTAAGACCCCATTTCTGCTCCCATGTTTTCGATCAAAGCGCCCAGTTCACGAAGTGAATCCGGATGGATACTGCATACACGAAAAACGGTTGTTCAGTCAGTGTTCTCTTCAGTTGGGTCGTGCATTGGGTCGGGAGAGAAAACCCAGGTTGATGTTTGATGTCGAACACTGAACACTGAACACCGAAACAGACCAGAATCACCGAAAAGAACAGCTGAATCATTCATGCAGCAGAAGTTAGAAAGGGGTGGTGTTTAGTCCCGTCCACGGCGCTGCAGTTTAACACAATCCTTCACCGCTGAAGGGGCTCGGGTCTTCGAACAGGTCCGGCCCAACTCATCGCATGTCTCCACCGCGAAGTGTTTCCACCGCGCGCGCACCGTGGCCCACCGTGGCCCACCGGTCCGCGTTGGCGCCGGACGAGGTGAAGGAGTCCTGGGACTCGGTGCATGAAGCCTGGCGGAGAGGCGAGTCGGAGAAGTCAAAGACATACAGGTGAAACCTTTCGATGGCGGCATCCACCCACCCACTCCTATACAGGTCTTTTAGACAGATGGAGGTCAATATTAATCACCAAGCTTGGGGTTACTTGTGCCATCTACTCCTGAAACCACTGTGAATGGAAGGATATGGAAGGAGTAGAAGCAACATAAAGCAACCCCTATGCATCGCCACCACGATAGTTGGGTGCTCAGAGACACTTGTATGTAGGCACGGGGGTTGGGTCCAGTCGTACCTGAGAAGAGATGTGGATCTTTATAGAACCTTATAGGGAACCCATCACCGCATTTTTGGGGTGATTTCAGTGTCCGTTCCTTACTCGTTGTGTGCCCTTGTGCGCCAGCCATGGTCTTTTGTGCTGGCCAGCGCTCCTGTCAGGGTCGTGTGGGTCTCCGTCTTGTGCCGAAAACGTCGCCGGACCCACCACGGTCTTTGCCTGTACGGAAGAGTGGTGTATAGGGAGACCCCCCAAGACCCTCTGGAAGAAAGACCATGGTGTACCATAGTCTACCCATTGCTTGGGGGGTCTTCCTATCAAAATACACACCAAATTTGGTGTCCCCTGGTGACGACGCGAAGATGCACCATGTTTGCCGGCGCGCCGAATGCGTCTCCATGCGTCTCCCATCCAAGGAGAGCACCACGTCGTTGATGGAGCTCATCCCGGAGTTCTTCATCCTACCGGCCGAATGGTCCGGGCACCCCAGAAAGCCTGGCGGTGGAGAACCGCAAACAAACATGTGGTGGGTGAACATTGGCCGAAAGCGTTGAAGTGGTTGAAATGTGAAAGGCGTTTTCGAGTGCGGCAGGGCATGGATGAAGCATCATCAGTTGGAATTGTGGGTGTGGGGTTATATTATATATTATTTGATTATACATGTGTTTAAATTTGTATATAAGTAGCATGGAAGTGGCGTTCACCCCCCTGTTTGTAGAGGAAAATTGTTTTCCAACGGGCCATGCCATCCACGTAACGTCACGTAACGAGGGAGTGTAATCCAAACTTGCGGAGGAAAGAGGTGTCAAGTGGGGTGAAACATGCCTATCGTACCTGAGGACGTTTCACTCATGCCCAAATAGATGTGAAATTCACAATTCTTTACAATATATAATATAGGGTGACTGCGCACGACTCATGACTCATGAGCCTCTTGGTTTTCCACAGGCCAGGAACCAACCTTTTTCGGAATCAGAAATAATCTTGAAACACTCACAAGTCAGGCCATGTCGGCATGGCATAAGGCCATTCCGCACCCTAGAATCGAATCGAACGTAGAAGGTTGCATTCTTCTTGTTCCTCTTGTTACATACTTCACGCTTCAGTTCTTCGACACATCAGTATAGTCACACCAATCTTCACCTTCTTCACCCGTTCCATCCTTTTCCGAGATAAACAACAAGAAGAACAAAACACCAGTCACCATCCGACCTTCCGTGCGAAAAACGTCTCACCGTGCCGGTTCGCTCGACGCTCTCCGAGGCTCCAGAATTCCCTGCAGATCGTGACGCCCGAGCGGCCCTTGGGCGATGTGGAGCTCCCCCGCTGGGCCGCTGGACTCGGTCGCGCGTTGCGCGTCGCGCGGCGCGTTGGTTCGGTTAAGCGGTTGGTGGAGCGAGGGGTTCGCGCGGTTGGTGCGAGTGTCGTGGAGGGATCAGAGAGGAAAAAGTCACTTCCCTGGTTTTTTGCGGATCAGTTGTTTTGTGTGTGTTTGTCTTTTTTTAGCATATCCAAGCTTCTTAGCTTGGGTGATTGGTGTGATTTTGGATGGAACATGGCAGTCTTGAAGCCCTAGAGCTGGAGACTGGAGTCACTGGATATGAGTCTTTGGATATACTGTTTGCCTATGAGGCCCAGTGGCCAATCTTCAGGAACTTAAGAAAGCGTTGCCAATCTTCAGGAACTTAGGAAAGCGCTTCTTCCTGTTCTCTCAGAATTGATGTCAGGGAAGATCTACAGGAACTCCATGGTTTTGGAAGGAGTACTAGCCATGGGGCCATCCTGCAGAATTTCCCCATAAAAACACATCCATCGATGTTCTCTTGTTCATCCTCTAATAGTTCTATTTGGGGCCACCTTGAGCCGCTGTAACTCAGGCCAGCAGCGTCATCGACTTCATCTGTCAGATGCGTGCAGCGCTGGAAAGCGAACACGTCTCACAGTGTTTCTGGGTTTTGCCTTTAAGGTGATTGTCAAACATGTGTGTTTTTCCTTCCCTAGGGATCCGGTCGTACTTTCTCAGAAGGCACTTGGACCCTCCACAGCCACCCCAAACACCTTCTGAGAAGGTACTTGGATCCCTAGGGTGTGTTTTTCCTTCTCAAGAAGATGTGGTGTTTTATTTTTTCACCGGTTCTTGGACAGCAAATCCAAGGTTTGCCTGCATGGATTGACCTGATTTTTGGCTACAAGCAGTCGGGTGAGGCGGCAGTGCCTTAGTTGGTAAGTTGTGCCTGAAGTTGTCCGTTCTTGTTTGTGATTGGACACATGGAGTAGATGGGGGTCAGTTTGGGACGCTGAATATCGCCGAATTGAGTAAAAGCATCGAAGTGGAGGAGGGATGAACTTGCAATCCCGGATTTAGGTCACAAACAATAGTCAATAGTCTTTAAGTAATTCAGTTTAAGTGATTCCTACCACTCTAGTGAGATCTACAGAATCTTAATCTACTCGTCACACTTGGCTGCTCACTCCCATCCACTCCACCCAGTACCCCGGTCTCTGACGTCCGGGGTCACACCCTGACAAGTCTCGCGACGCGACGACGCCCTACACATTCTCTCTGGAGCTAGACCCAGTCAGTTGAGAACCGGATACCTTTTTGGGGGAAAATGAGGGACACCCCACTCCAATCCAACAGGGTGGAGGGGCCGAGTCTCGCTTCACTTCCAAACAGCCGAGTGGGTGAAGCGGATCGGATCGGCCAGGGGTTCCGGTCCAAGGGGTCCGATTTCCCAGGTCAAAGCAGACAACGTCTTTCATCCCGTGTGCTACGCTGGCTCCAAGACATCACCCGAAGCTCGGCGGGCAACACCACGACTTCCAGCGGCGAGACGACTCCAGCTGGTGCCATTGACACCAAAACCCGGTCAGTGGCGGTAGTTTCTAGTGATGTTGACGTTCCCGGTTCCTGGATGAACGCCTGGCATGTTCCTTCGTGTTCTTTCTCCTGGCGCTTCCGAATCAGCAAATCCAAGCAGACCTTGTTGAGATTGACTCTGGTTGTTTCTGTCTTCGGAAAGAGGGAGATCAAAAGACTCACATCCCCTTTTGACATCCAGCAGCCTTCAGCCTCAGGTACAGATACCCAGCACGAGTGGTTGGATGTGGTTGGTGTCTTCAAATTGGTACTCTATCTTTAACCTGGAATGATGAATCCTAATGACCTAATCTACACGTGTAGAATATATATATATATATATTATATAATTCCAGTGGAATCAATGAGACCGTGACCTTGCAGGTGACGCAGGGCGTGCAGAGTCGAATTGAGTGGTGAAGAGTCGAGGAAGCGCAACGACAAATGGCATCCAGTGGGTGGATATATTACTGTCTCAGGTCTGGCAGGCTTAGGGTGGACAGTGGTCATTCCTCAGAGTGATAGGATCCTAACAGTCTAGGAATGTTCAATTGTTCATGAAGTTCCTGAAGCCGAGCCTGATGACATTGATTATATACTGGATTAATGACTCAAGAGACAGCATCAAACAGGCCTTGGAGATGGATGTCCCTTACAATTGCAAGCAATGCAAAGATGAGGTCCCTATTCTGTGGGACTCAAAAGAAGACAACAGATCCCATTGTCTCATTTGCGAGTACACCTACAGGGCAAAGCATGGACATGGAGGAGTCGCATCAGACAAAGATGATTCGTGGGTATCGGCATTGAGGGTCAGAATCCTATATGGAAAAGTTGCCCGCAACCGAGAGAGAAGACACCACAAGGGGGGTCTGTCGGATTTTCTAGTGGCACTCGCGAAAGCCTACTGGTTTCCCGAACAGAATCCCAGCTGGATTTCCGGACTGCTCACGAACATCTCACCATGGAGCAATCCAATCCGAACTCCCATATATTTCGTCCATGATTACATTCGTGAGAGGCAAGCTCCCAATGTTTGTATGTCCGAGACTACGATCTGCAGTCAGTGAGTGCAGTCAGTCAGTGAGCATTCGCCGTCTCTATGGCAATGTCTACTTTGGCGTGTAAACTGCTGGACTCAAGACTCAAGATGCCTTTCGCCTGAAATGAGGGATGCGCATTTTTGGTCTCCACAATTGGCTTGAGACTGCCGATGGAGACACTATGATACACTCACCAAAGTGGGCATAGTTGCTTGAAATGATGCTATATGTTACTATAGATTGCTTTCTCCTAATTCAATGTTTTGTACCTTGTGCAATATCAGCAAGATATATTGGTTTGTTTGTTGTTGTTGCTGCTTTGGTGTGGGCCTAAGGGCTCCTGGATAGGGAACTGTTTTGGAGGGTATAGCTATAGAACCTACATTTACATCAAAATAAGCAAGACAAGGTTACTTATCCGAATCATCCAGGATTGGTTGTCCGATCTTTTTGACAAGGCATAAAGCAACACCTTATCCAGTTATACATCACATCACAACATCATATCATTTCAGATCATAACATCATATCACAATATCATATCAACAACTAGACCTAGACATGAAGAAGCCTCTCCGAAACGTTTCGGAGCATCTCCTTCAGGACGAGGCCGACATGAGCTCTTTCGGTCTTCCGATGGAGGTGCTGGAGACGCAACTGCAGGAGTCTCATGGCGTGAATGGAGACTGGACACGAAGAGATTACTTTTCAGAACTTCAGTCAGTGAAGCCTTTTTTTCTGCAGGACATTTCATTGGGATTTGCATCCATGGACATATGTTCTTTTGTTATGACACTGAAATCGAGACACGAGGAACAACCCAGACTGCCAGACACCTCAGAGATTTTTTGGGAAGACAAACCTCACCTCCACTTCATGAGATTTGGGATGGCTCGCTGCATTTCCGGTCAGCTGGTGCTGGTGGGCTGGTGCTGGGCTGGTGCTGGGCTGGTGCTGGTGTCGACTTTCAGAACCACAGTGGTTCTCGAGTGACGAGGGGATGGCGTTTCGACCCGAGCCAGATCCGTGCCATCTGGGGATGTTCATGGATTCGTCCAAAGATACATTGAGGCCGTATCAGACTGTTGAGGTGGTATCAGGCGATCATAAAGAACATATGAGAGCAGGTCTAGCAATATGTCGGTCTAGCGATCAGGTTTCGATCCATGGAGCTAACGAAAGAAGAACGGATGTTTGGAGTAACTTTCTAGGTTATACAGTTATACCCTGGGAGTCAAAGACTATAAAAAGAATGGTCTTTAGGAGACCTGAAAGGGAACTTCCTATGTTTGAAATTACTATGTTTGAACTGTCGGCCTTTAACCATCAGGTATGAGGATAGACCCAACACATATAGACCCAACACATATGACTCTATTGCATCTTTGGGTGAAATGGATGTTCTTGGTTCCTGGATGAATCCCCTAGCCTTTGGGCATACAACAATATACATATCTATATTATATATCATTGTATGTGTATGTATATATATATGTTTCCCGTAGACCTCTATAGCGAACATATTGTTTTTTCCAACTGTCCTTCCCGGCTTCCTGGACAAATTCCCAGGTTCGGACGAATGCCGCGCCAGCAGCTCCGTCCGAGAGTTGGGGGGGCCGTCGTTGCCGTTCACGTCTTCCAAAACGGTCCGTTTGGGCACTTCTGCTGGGATTTGTGGAAACATGTAGAAAGGACTAGACTTGGTTAAACATTGTTTAAACAACATCTATATGTATATATATATATACACAGTCAGTTGGGTTGTGAAAACATGTAGAAAGTCCAAGTGTGTCCTATAGTACTTAGAGTAGTACTTAGATATGGTGAGGCTGCTAATACGACCTTTGACTGATACCAATGATCTAGCTGGACCGAGGGCTTGACTTATGAGAACGAACAACGATTCCAGACTATAACACAATCCAACATCGATCCAACATGGTCCGAGTCCAACTGACTATATCCTTAGGAGATAGTTGGGCCCTGCAAACACACCTGAAACACACCAAACACCTCCTATCTCAAATATTGGGGTGAAATTATATCTGCAGTTGTTGTGTTTTTTTTTTTTTTTTTTGAGCATTAGAACCTTCCCCCACCTTCGCACAACCGTGTCGCGTGGCCTCATCCATGTGTTCACTGATTCCCTGCGATTTGCCCCAGTCTTCGGGAATTACACTGTCCGGGCTTCTAAGAAAGGTTGGATACCACGTTTGGGACATAAGCCTACAGTATTGATGGGGAGACAAAGGTTTGGGACAGATCGATCTGTTGAGCCAAGATGTTTAGATGTGCTTCATGAGGATACCTGGTTCTGGTGTGAGTGGCTGAGGTTTTTAGGGAATCTGCTGGTTCTAAATCTTAAGACGCGCCATTGGGGAGCTGTTGGGGAGCTGTTTTGCATCCCAAGCTGCCCAAGCTCTTCAAAGGGTATCGCATCTGTGATGAACCTGTGCATTCTGTGATCACCTTGTCGAGCTAACCTGACCCTCCAAGGTTGTTCTTCGAGGCACACCCTCCACGGTTGAGGACGCCCAAGTGGCCTCCTAAGAAGCTTCAAGAAGACGCTGACCAATCGGAGCCCTGGTACAAGGCCGGCGGAAGAGAGTGAACTTGGTACAAGCTCAACATCACCGGTCTCACATCGCATCCCATCGATGCCTTTCGTGAACATCCCCAGCTGCTGACTCAGTGGCTGAGGTCACGACTCGTCCCTGAAGAGGTGACTTACAGACTCCAAAGAGGTCACGGACTGAAGGTCCTAATTCACATAAGGTCCGTAAGGAAGAGACGACCCCAAGCCACGAGGATGTGAGATTACATGACATCATTAATGACAACAAATTGGACTGGTCTGGCTTCATCTTGAGTAAGTTTGATTGTGTAAACGTTTGGGTAACCTCATTTGGCAATGGTTTGCATGTCAGAAACCCACACTAACCTCATTGGTGCAGGTTCACAGAGATGTCGCAGGATTTCAGTGCACACCCATTTGCCCATTCAGCCAAGCTGCTTTATTGAGTTCTTCTAATTAGTCAGCTTCACAGAAAGTGCTTCAGCAACTGACATATCGAAACAAAAACCACCGTATGTACTATACTTTCTTTTGATAACTCAGCAGTTTTGTCCTGCAGTCCATGTCCAAGCATTACTCCCCGAAGCAGTTCCGCACGCGGAGGCAGTGCGGCAGATTGCGCGTGCCGATCGTGGTGCCGTGCTGGTTCCTCCGAGCGTCGATCGCGCAGTGAATGGTCGCAGCGGTGGGAGCACCGGAGAGCGAGGTTATGGTTCGAACGGTCACTGGGCGCAATGGCACCTAGGAGTGCGAGGGGAGGCAGTTCCAGGTGCGTTGGATGTCTTTTTGCCGCAAGCTGGAGGCGGTTTGCGGATGTGACGGCGCTTTGGTTTGGAAGCCTTGAAGGAAACTCTATCATCGGAGTCCACGTTGGACCTCAAAACAGCATTGACAGTGTGGACTCTACCTGGTTATGATAGAGCGTGTATTTATCCCACTCGTCAGCTCCCCCTATACCGCTGCCTTCTCCAGGGTGCGAGCGCCGAGGTCGATGTCGAACGAGGGGGGAGATGTTTGATGCATCTTCCATCCGGCCCCGCTTAGAAAAACGGGCCCCCTTCACACTCGAGTGTATTTTCCCGGGATATGTGGGTGATTCCTTTGATTCCTTTGACCATCCAGTAATTGGGTATGCTGCCATGGGGCCTTTCACTTCAGTTGGCATTCCTTTGGAACTTAAATTCATCAAAATCCTCCGTGTATTCACTGAAAGTCCCAGCCATGCTAATGTAGACTGATTCATCAAAGCTCGCCAGACACGGATTGTCAAACCATGTGAAACCTCTTCAGGCCTGGGGGTTGAACATACTGTAAATACTAACCCTAAGGATCCAAGTACCCTCTGAGAAGGTGTTTGGGGTGGGTTTGGAGGGTCCAGTCGCACCTTTTGAGGAGGTACGACCGGATCCCTAGGGTAATACACATCCAAATCTTAGAACCTGAGAGGTTAAGTCGGTTAAGTGACCATAAATAGGACCTTACTGGGGTACCTATGGGATAGTCGAACCTAGGGTCCTTCAGCCTCTGTTGGTAGAACCTGAGTCTGGTTGAAATCGAACCGAAATAGTGTTCGCGTGGCCTCAGGCCCACGGCCCGACGGCTCCGCATCCTCATCCTGGCGTGGTTTGGGCACTGGTGCAGCGGCTTTAAGATGCTTGGCAGGGGGGAGATACGAAGAGGGAGGATGATGAACAGTAATGAAAAAGAGAAGTCTGGATTCTTTGGAGGAGATCCACCTGAAAATCCAAAGACAAAGTATGAAGAAGTCAACCCTGGACATCCCTGGACCAAAAGAATGGCACATCTCCCTGGGAGATGATTGATGTGATCGCTACGTACCAGGCACCAGGTCTATGACCTCTTGTTATTGGATCGTGGGTTGCAGGAAGAACCTGAAGTTTCCGGTTGCAACAACAGTTTTACGGTCAGACAGTGCCTGCTACACTTGTAGCTAGACAGTAAGTCGGTAAGTGGGTTGTTACCACCCCCTTTCACAGGTCACTGCCGAACTTTAAACGTCCATTGAACGATCAAGGTTGTTGGATCAAAATAAAGTCGACACATTAATCCTGTTGCGGCTTTCGGGTGATATATGGTGATAGATTTGTTCCTTTGGGTGCACCCCTTCGAAGATTCGGTGAACACGAAACCTGGACAGCTGAGTACCGGGTGCTCGAGGTTTCTGACAGCGTACCGGGCCAGTTCTGAATGAACATTGACATGCTGAGTCTGAGAACAAGTCTGCGACAAGTCTGGTCGACCCGGAACATCGCTGTATTGAACCCGAAAACAACATACAGCGAATAGCGAATAGCTCGGCGTGGAGACTTTGAACCGTTGGAGATTTTAATGGTGTCCAATGATGGTTTGTTTTGGTCCACATCCTATACACAGTCAGTGGATATGTGTTTCTTTCCCTACACAGTCAGAGATAAACTACTTTTCTAGGGATTATGTTGTTGTTTTTTTTTTTCCGGGGGCCCAGACCATGCACGGCTTTTCTGAACCTGTTGTCCAATGTTTTCTGCCTCAGACCATCACCGGATCCTTCGGACCGATTTCGGTCGGCTCTTTTGGAAGGACTAAGAGAGGTTGAGTGACCTATAGGACCTGTCATAGAACCTGGGGTACCCAACTGGGATGGTCGAACTAGGGTTCTTCAACGATCTGTTGGGAAACCAACCTCAAGCACCCAGAGGCTTCCCAAAAACACCCAGACCTTGCGGATGGCGCTCCTTGGCGGAATTCTCAGGACACCTGGCAGTGAAACCGCTGGCTACGCCCACCTCCTTCACAGGCATCACAGCTGTGGACTGCTGCGCGCAGAACCTGCCGCTCTCACAAACACGACCCGTTTGGGTCGGTTGGGGCTGGATGAGTCGTGGTCAGACAGAGATGTCTTGTTGGGGTGATCCCGGTCCCAGACCATGCATGTAACATCATGTAACGAATAGTCTAGTTACTGTATATTATGTTATATTATAGATGTTATATTACCCCATGAAGATGACACTATGTAGGTAACTATTCCATGCATGGATGGTTTGGGAAGGGTTAGACCCTTAGCAAAGGACCTATGGACAGCCAAGTCTCTACTGGAAGTCCTTAGAACCAGGTCGCAACAGTCTTTGGGCTTGGAGATCTTGAAAAAGATCCGAGCTGGCATATGTTGAAGGCACGTGACTGTTAACATTGTTCTAAAATGCTCTAAACCAAACGCTTTGAAGAGTATACTATATATATTACACTTTATTGAATATTGTTTAAATATACACTATATAGTGTTACTATTGTTATTTTCAAAAGTGCATTCACAACTTTGCACCATTTCCTAGGTATGCCGTGGGTGAGGACGGCTGCCTTCGCGTTTGCAGCCTGCAGATGGCGGCTGAGTCATCGACCGCGCGGCGGAACTTCCGGATCTCGCCCATGCCGGGGAGCCCAAGCCATTGCCATGGAACATCGAGAGAAAAAGGGTCAAGGTGGTAGGAACAAATCAGATGAAAGGAAAAAACGGGTCATGAATCTAGTCAGAGCTTCTTGGATTGCTCGAGCTCCTTCAATTTTTGGAGGGGCTAGAGGGTCCCACTATTTTGATTCGACCTTCTTCAGGATTGGCGCGCAAAAATTCCCATAATGATGCGCAAACACAAGAGGTTGGCACATTCCCTCATCATGTCCATCCAATTTTATCCACTTTGTAGATACCTGGACCTTCCAAGGGGTACCCAATGCAAGCCCGGGACTGCAAGTATCAGTGTAGGGTAGTGTAGGGTAGTGTAGGTTTGTCACCTTTAAGATCCGGTGTTTCCGGGTCTGGCAAGTGGCAAGGTGCCCACAAACCATCCAACACAGACTGGACAGGAGGCTTTTACAAATCCGGTTTGGTCTCTTTCTGGTTTCCCTGGCTTGGCTAGACTCGTTTCACTGAACCTATCCCAGACACACCACATAAAACTGCCATATATACCAATCAATTGGGCAATTTCGACGGTCAAGAATGTAAGCATACCCAAACACTCCATGGGACTGGAATATGTACTGGAACTCTTAAAACCACCCCTGGCGCCCTGGCCTTTTCCCAGGCAAAATGTTTCCCAGTCCCAAATGAACTCGTGTTAGCGGAGGCTTCGTAATTGACGGAGGTCACCGTCCCGGACCTCCGCAAAACCTAGAGAGGTTAAGATTCCCTCGCATAGGACCCGGAATCCCTTATAGGACCCTTATAACCTGCGCGGTACCCAACTGGGATAGTCGAACGACTCGGGTTGTTCTTCAACCTCTGTTGGAAGGCCCCTGTCGGCCTTGGCAGTGATCGAGACGGAACTCTTGGCGCTGGGTGGCCACGACAACGCGGCGGCGAGACACAATTGGTCTTGGGGGTCGTTCCCGGGTCCGGGAGGTCTGCCGAATGTTTACTACACACCCATGCAACTGTGAATGGATGGGGATGATGGGATGAAGTCCATGACCGGATGGATGGATACAGTATGTAGCTATGAACACATCTCAGCAAACATGGAACTGAGCAGTCTGGATGAGATTTGGTCTTTGGCTACGGTTCAGGTGGGTTCATTGTGTCACGAATGGACTTGTTCAACGGTGTTCCATGTTGCAAAGGCAGCTCCATCCGACCAGACACACCGTGAAGGGCAGGGGTTCGCGGACCTCTCCTCCAACATATTCCGCCATACCTTTTTTTCTGGGATTCATCCGTTGGTCCGTTGGAATGAAGGGTGTTCAGAGGCGGCCTCACTTTGGACCTGTATTGATCATTGGCACCGAACTGGGCGATCTTCCGGCTGGGCGATCAGGGCTTAACTTGCGATTCTTCGTGTTTCGTGCGGAAAATCCACTGGTCCTGGTACTGTTTGGGGCCCTGAGAGGGCCAAGGAATGAAGAACCAGAGAATAGGATGAGAATTGGTACTGCATGCGACTGCACGACCCTCAACAGCAAACTACGGTGGATTACATTTGATGTACCTCCTATATTAAATATAGAACCTACAACTCCAGTCTTCCTTAAGGGTTCAGGTTAGGGTTTAGGGTTTTACTCAGGTCCAAACCTGGTGGACTTGACCTGCTAAGAGTCACGTTCGAGCTGTATGACCGCCTCCAATACACCGAGCCCTTCAACGCAACGGAGCCGATGAACCTCGATGAACCGAACCTTTCTTCCGATGAAGCCAAATAACATACCCAGCCAGTGGATAACCTGCAAAAGCTTTCTGAGGGGAGTGGTTCCCCCACTAAACAAGCACAGGTAGAAAAAGGCTCTCCAGAGTTTCTGTTTTCTATGCGTCCTGAGTGTCGACAGTGTTGCCATCAATCGCTATGGCATGAACGATAGAACAGGTAGAAAAGGGTTACAGTAACCTTTATTTTCCAGGGAAGCTGAAGGAGTCAGATAAGATCAACTAAGTCTCTCCCGGCCACCCTCTCTATGAAGGCGATGTGTTCGACAGTTTTGGGTGGTCTGAATTTGTGTCCCGTCCAGTCGTACTCGGAAGTCCTGGAACTTTGGGAAGGATGAATCAGGATTCAGAGCGGAACCACCTGGATCAGCCCTTATAGTTGTTGCAGTTTTTTGCACCCAAATTTGACCCGTTTTGTGCTGGCACTTGTTGCAAACAAACATTGACTTACAGTTTTTTGACCTGGCCCTCAGGTGTCGTTATACTCAACCTCCTGTGGCTCTTCACTCTCAAGGAGTTCCATGCATGCCGACACCGTCACCTGTTTGGGTGCAGCTCGCTGCAAGAGCCTCTTAAGCTGGACATGGTCTTAGTGCAACTTTTGTTTAATGATGTTTTATGTGTGTTGTCTTAGTTGTCTTTGAATGCTCCACTGAGAAACCGTCCTCAAGTGTCCATGAAGAACTTCATGTTCTTCTTTTCCACTGAGAAGACCACCTACTGGTACAAATTGTAACTAAAGACTTACTGTACGTGTTAGTACTTTTGCACACTGTAAGTAAATATGAATCTTATTAGAACATAAATAGGTCCAAACAACACAATGTTGAAAGCAACATGTGTATGTTCTTGTGTGCTATCACCTTCATCTTCAGAATACCATCCCGAACCCCAAGCCACCAGAGTTCCGGTCACCAAACCGCCCACCAAGCCGCCCAGCCTTGCCACTGCAGGCGACGGGATCGTGAGCGGCTCCAGGGATCAGTCGGTGGTGACCTGGGCGGTGACGCCCAGCGGGCTGAAGAGTGAGGTGATCTTCGACGACTTGCAGCAGTCGCCGGGACCGGCTGAGAGGGACAGAAAGGGAGTGACCTATAGTGACCAAGAAGTAGGACCCTTATAAGTACCCTGATATAACCTGGGGTACCCAACTGGGATGGTGGTTTCCGGATACACTCGGGTTCTTCAACCTCTAGATTGGTGGTTGGGATCCCGTCGAATGGCTGGAAGATGTGATTCCGAGAAGCTGGTGGATTCATAGGTGGGATGACCAGCAGGATCCAGCAGGTCTCCAAAATGGAGGCTGACATGCGCACTTCAAAGTCGGATGGTGACCTGAAGGTTCCGTTGGACCTCAGGTGTACTGAAAACCGGTCAGGACTCAAGCAGAACATGACGGTTTCGATCAAGTCGACCAGGAGACTGGACATGGTTAGACAGCACTTGTAGGGACGAGACAATATGAATTAAACTGATGTGATCTACCGATCTGCCGCGATCCGTGGCTGTTTTTGGCCCTACTTCGACGGGACCGGGAGACCAGGAGACTGGACCTGGTGAACCCTTGGACTGGTTCCTTGTAGGGATGACCAGGAGACTGGACTGGATCTGGTATCCACTTGTTCATCTAAGACCGGTGCTGTCCTGCGCGTGCTCGGGCTCCTTGGTCTTGGCGACGGCAGCGGATCAGCAGCTGATTTGTTGGGACAAGCGCAGCGGGCAGCCGATCCTCCAACGAGAGACCCTTGACCTCACCTCGGTTTGGGTGAGGATGGCGAGTCGGGTTTGGGACAAGAGGTTAGAGTTAGAGGATGTTAGAGGGTGCTGAGGTGCTTGCAGTGATTCTTGAGTTTGATCGACGTTCATCAAGCAAGCGCAGTGTACAACTTCTGTGTGTTTTTCAAGATGTGAAGCAGATGCAGATAATGTGTGCTGTGTGTGTGTTTCTCTTTGTTTTCGGGGTTTTCGCATGGGTGAGCAGGTTGACCACGGGTTCTCTCATGACCTTCATTTCTCATTTGACAACCATTTGAGATCCTCGAACCTCGCTTCAGTGCCACCCTCAAACATCCTCAAATCACGAAAGCTAGCTGTAGCTAGCTGGAGTCTGTCTTGCTTTTAGCAAGGAGGGTGGGAGCCCAGGACCTGAGTGCTGTTACCTGATATATCAGGACTATACACCCCCCCCCTCGCGGGGTTCAACTCCACCCTTCTCCTCCTCGGTACCTGCTGCTGCTGCTGCTG